TTTTTTTAGTGCTTTTTTTTAGAAACGCATTACAGTCCATTTAACATGGTTTCATATTGGACACGTTCACATCTATGCTTTTTTGAGCTGCTGCGTTTTAGGAACTTCTTAAATGTAAAAAGCTGCATTTTTGCTACAATTGATATAAAAGGAGACGCTGCTGGAATGCGTGTAGTGCATTTTTGCTGTTTTGCTTTTATTATTCTGCCCAGCAACAAAAATATTTTACCTTTAACAAAAAACAAACAAACCGCACAATGCGATATAAATGCAGCAAAACCGCTGGTATAAAAACGCAAAGTGAAATGCAAAAAGCATTGCAAAACCGGATTAAAAGCAAACTGCATTGGTGTAAGCCAAGCCTGACAAAGCACCTGCTTGACGATGACCCGCATACAGGACTGGAGGAAATATTTCTCATCGTTTACGGGAACAGCGACAAGCCCTGACTATTCTGAAGGAGGATAACATTCCAGACTCATCAATGTAGCGATCTGGAGACATAACTGCAAAAATATCACTTTATTCTGTCTACTTAACCAGTTCCCTGCCGCCCTATAGCAGGACTACTGTTACAGGGCAGCAGGGCTGTGCAAAATTACTATTTATATTGCATTTCCGAGTAGAGGGACGTGTGTGCCACCCTACCAGTGCCGCTATTGGTGGCTACAGCTGTCAAGTCCCCGCCAGAGATTCCCCGCCGGCACCTGGTAATCGCAGAGGAACAGTGAAAGGGGAGAGGACTGTCTGTAAACAACACAGATCTCTCCCTTGTCAGCACCAACATGCTACTTTGTATGGCTCTGCACAGCAGAACCATGCAAAGCAATGCGCTGACACAATGAAAGACACACACAGCACACAGTTAACCCTTTGATCGCCCCAGTTGTTAACCCCTTCCTGCCCAGTGCCATTCATACAGTGTCAGTGTTTTTTATTAGCACTGATCACTGTACTGGTGTCACTGGGAAGTCAGTGGCAGTTAGTTCATCCCCACTGTCAGAATGCCCACCGCAGTCCCACTATAAGTCGCTGATCACCGCCATTACTAGTATAAAAGAAATAAAAAAATAAAAATTCCAGTATATATATCGCCATTTGTAGATGCTATAACTTTCATGTAAACCAATTAATTTACAAGTATTTTTTAGCACAGACACGTCGCAGAATACATTTTGGCCAAAATTTATGCCGAAATTTGATTTTTTAAATTTTTTTTACTGAACATTTTTAATTTTATTGTCAAACAGTCAAAAATATTGTTTGTTTTTTTTCAAAATTGTTGGTCTTTTTTTGTTTATAGCACAAAAAATGAAAACCGCACAGGAGATCAAATACCACAGAAAGAAAGCTCTATTTGTGGGGAAAAAAGGAAACAAATTTAATTTTGGTGCAGCTTTGCATGACTGCGCAATTGTCAGTTAAAGTAACGCAGTGCCATAATGCAAAAAATGGTCTGGTCAGGAAGGGGGGGAAATCCTCTGGAGGGCAAGTGGTGAAAGTAGACCTCACATTAGATATTTTTTATGTTGTATGTACACATGCTAGGTAATGTATAAGTAAACAGTAACATGTACCTCTCACATGCAGAAGATTACAGAAATCCCCCCCCAATAATCTTTTCATCTGCTTTTCTCTCCAAAAGGGCAGCACCATATTTGTTCACACATCATCCAGGGATCCATTGTGTTTATAAATCTTTGCCGCAGATCAGCCTCAGCAGTAACCTCTCACCTTGTGAATTGCTTCTTAGCTGTTGCAGTCTGATCACTGAGGGAGACTGAGGAAATGCTTCCTCCTGCCTGCAGAATAATTATAATAGTTAATAACATTATTATTATTATTATTATTATTATTAATAATAATAATAAAAAAAAACTAAAATACTATAAGATGTGGGACGCCACTCAACCAACCCGGTGCATGTAAGTGATGGCTTCAGTCAGCTGCTCCACTGGCCAAACCTTCTAATGCGTTTCACCCTGCCCACTCTGGCTTAGTCATAGAAGTCATGTAATCTGGTGCGTGCAAACGCACTCCATTTACAACCTGTGTTTGGGGAATCATTAACTCAGTATTGACATTCGATGCAGATCGCTGTGCGTCTTGAACGCGTTGCAGGAAATGCATTTGGAATGAGGGTTTCCAGCACCGCTTTCTGGTGTGAACCAGACCTTATACAAAAAAAATTGTTGGCAATTTGCAAAAATTGGCAATTATTTTTCTGTTTGAAGGTGTGCTGTGTTTTTGAATCAAATTTCCTTTTTTATTTGCATTGCATATAGTAAAGTAATATTTTTGCAGCCATGTTTTCTTTATTTCTATACTATCCTAAGAACACTGATGTAGTCTACAGCATTCTGCAAGAACATTTGTTTTTTTTGAGCCATTCAGAGGTGGACTTGCTGGTGTATTTCAGATCCTTGTGCTGCTGCATAACCTAAGTGCCCTTGAGCTCACGAACTGATGGGCGGACATTCTCCTTCAGAATTTTCTGGTAGAGCGCAGAATTCATGGTTCCATAAAATATTTATTACAGGTACCTATTTACTTCAATTTATGCAGTGCTTTACAGATATATTGTACATTCACATCAGTCCCTAACCCTCAAGGAGTGTACAATCTAAGGTCCCTAACTCACATTCAAACATACACATACTGGGGCCAATTTAGAAAGGGTCCAATTAAAGTATCAGCATGTTTTTGGTGTGTGTGGGAGTAAACCAGAGTGCCCTGAGAAAACCCACAAAGGCACAGGGAGAACATGCAAACTCCAGGGAGGTGGTGCCATGGTTGGGTTTCAAACCTAAGACTCCAATGCTGCTAGGCAGACGTGCTAACCACAGGGACGGACTGACCATTTGGAAACTCGGGCACGGGTCAGTAAGGGGCCCCATGAGATGCCGCTGGTACCTTTTTCATAGGTTTTTTTGAGTTTGGGCAAGCACACAGGGGAACCATGATCCCCTATTGCCCGGGGGCCCCATGAGTTGTCAGTCCGCCCCTGGCTAACCATTTAGCCACTATGCTGGAAAGTCATCCAAACCCTGAAGCTGCAAAACAGCCCCAGACCATCACACTACCACAACCATGTTTGACTGTTGGTATGATGCTCATTTTACGCCAGATTAACGGTACAAACACCTTTCAAAAAGTTCAACTTTTGTCTCATTAGACCACAGAATATTTTCGGGATAATCAAGATGTTTTTTGGCAAATGTGAGACTAGGCTCTCTGTTCTTTTTGGTCAGCAGTGGCTTTCGCCTTGGAACTCTCCCATGGAGGCTTTTTTTGCCCAATCTCTTTCTTATTGCTGAATCATGAACGCCGACCTTAACTGAGGCAAGTGAGGCCTGCAGTTCTTTAGATGTTGTTCTGAGTTCTTTTATGACCTCCTGGATGAGTCGTCGTCGTTGTGCTCTTGGAGTAATATTGGTAGGCCGGGCCACCTCTGGAAAGGTTCATCAGTTCCAAGTTTTATCCATTTGTGGATAATGGCTCTCATCCTGGTTTGCTGGAGTCCCAAAGCCCTAGAAATGGCTTTGTAACCCTTTCCAGACTGATACATGTCAATTACTTTGTATCTCACCTGTCTGGCAGTAATCAGGCCTGGGGTGTGGCAAGTGAAATTTAATTCAGCTGTCCATAAAATGTGGTTAATCACAGTTCATTCATGATTTAACAATGGGGGGGCAATTACTTTTCACATAGGGCCGGGCAGGTTTGGACAGCTTTTTTTCCCTCTTAATAAATGAAATCATTATTTACAAAACTGCATTTTATTTTTACTCGAGTTATCTTTGTGTATTATTACCATTTGCTTGATGATCTGAATCATTTAAGTGTGACAAATTTGCAAAAAAAAAAAAAACCACAGAAAGGGGGCAAACACTTTTTCACAGCACTGTATATAAATAATACACACATTATAAAATTACAATTTGAAACATGAACTTTTTTTGAGCTCAGAAACTAAAATATGTTTCTAGAGGGTTTATATACATTCCACTGATTGGTTGATGTGTCTGGATGGAGATTTCTGCAACACAACATGCTATTTCCGGCCAATCGGTAGTTTGCAAGCAGGGAGTTCAGTTTAGGAGTATTAAAGGGGTTCAAATAAGCAGTAAACTTTTTCCTTTGACAGGACATATACTTAGTAGCATGTAGGGAGCTCAGCTAACAAAAGGCTCCCTTAGTCTTGGGAGGTGCTTTGGAAACAGCAACAGTGGCAAGTGCCTCCCTGGGTGCCGTCTTGTGGTTTATTATGTTCATCTAAGATAAGTGCTAAGGCAGACATGTCAACCTTCTCCTCTACTGAATAAAGGGCAGTTGATGATATAGCAAACTGCTGGGGGGAGTGCTTCAGTAGCCGCCAATAAGACAGGAGTGTTGAGGAGCACAGTAGGAATTCTTCAGTATTGCTTCTATGGTTACAAGTACCTTTCATTACCATAAAGCCTATTGTTACTGCTCCTGGAGCTCATCCTGCCTCCCTCAGGGGATCCGTCATTACAGGGGATTATAAATATTAAAAAATAATACATTCTCACTAGTCCCTGGCCACAAAGGAGCTTACAATCAAATGCTACTGCCACAGTCATACAGGTACAATAGGGCTAAGTTACCTACTAGTATTATTTTTCTCTCACTTTTACAGAAATCTGACACACCCATATGCATCCCACATTGAGGAAATAAAGGCCGCAAAAAGTGAAAACGAACGACAGATTGCAAAAGATAGCAGGAACAACCTCCAAAAATTCTTCAAATATTTTACTAGTAAACAGGTCCGATCCGAGCATGTAGGCCCTTTACAAAATAATCTAGAGTGCGTGACTGGGGACAAAGAGAAGGCAAATGTATTAAATACCGTCTTCAGCTCTGTGTATACAAAGGAGCATGGGGGAGCTCATGTCCATAGTGGGCATGGTATTCACACAGCTCCAGATGATCCACACTGGCTCACAATTGATCCAAAAATATTTAGACAGAATAAAGGTGAATAAAGCACCTGGACTGGATGGCATACACCCACGGGTCCTTAAAGAATTGAGCTACGTCATTTCAAAGCCATTGTTTCTCATTTTTAGAGACTCTTTAATGAATGGCATAGTACCACTGGATTGGTGTAAGGCCAATGTGGTGCCAATATTTAAAAAGGGGTCAGAATCTTTACCAAGTAATTACAGACTTGTTAGTTTAACTTCTATAGTTGGGAAGATACTGGAGAGTTTAATAAAAGACCACATAGATGAGTTCTTGCTGGAAAAAAATATCTTAAGCAAAAGACAGCATGGATTCACGAAAGACAGAAGTTGTCAAACAAATCTGATTTCTTTTTATAAGGAGGTGAGCAAAACCTTGGACAGAGGGGGGGTGGCGGTGGACGTGGTAGACAGGGGTGGCGGTGGACAAGGTATACTTGGACAGAGGGGTGGTGGTGGACGTGGTATACTTTGACAGAGGGGTGGTGGTGGACGTGGTATACTTGGACAGAGAGGTGGCGGTGGACGTGGTATACTTGGACAGAGGGTTGGTGGTGGACGTGGTATACTTTGACAGAGGGGTGGTGGTGGACGTGGTATACTTGGACAGAGAGGTGGCGGTGGACATGGTATACTTGGACAGAGGGGTGGTGGTGGACGTGGTATACTTGGACAGAGGGGTGGTGGTGGATGTGGTATACTTGGACAGAGGGGTGGCGGTGGACGTGGTATACTTGGACAGAGGGGTGATGGTGGACGTAGTATACTTGGACAGAGGGGTGATGGTGGACGTAGTATACTTGGACAGAGGGGTGGCGGTGGACGTGGTATACTTGGACAAAGGGGTGACGGTGGACGTAGTATACTTGGACAGAGTGGTGGTGGTGGACATGGTATACTTGGACAGAGGGGTGACGGTGGACGTAGTATACTTGGACAGAGGGGTGGTGGTTGACGTGGTATACTTGGACAGAGAGGTGGCGGTGGACATGGTATACTTGGACAGAGGGGGGTGGTGGTGGACGTGGTATACTTGGACAGAGGGGTGGCGGTGGATGTGGTATACTTGGACAGAGGGGTGGCGGTGGACGTGGTATACTTGGACAGAGGGGTGATGGTGGACGTAGTATACTTGGACAGAGGGGTGATGGTGGACGTAGTATACTTGGACAGAGGGGTGGTGGTGGACGTGGTATACTTGGACAAAGGGGTGACGGTGGACGTAGCATACTTGGATAGAGTGGTGGTGGTGGACATGGTATACTTGGATAGAGGGTTGATGGTGGACATAGTATATTTGGACAGAGGGGTGGTGGTGGACGTGGTATACTTGGACAGAGAGGTGGCGGTGGCGGTGGACGTGGTATACTTGGACAGAGAGGTGGCGGTGGACATGGTATACTTGGACAGAGGGGTGGTGGTGGACGTGGTATACTTGGACAGAGGGGTGGTGGTGGTATACTTGGACAGAGGGGTGGCGGTGGACGTGGTATACTTGGACAGAGGGGTGATGGTGGACGTAGTATACTTGGACAGAGGGGTGGCGTTGGACGTGGTATACTTGGACAAAGAGGTGACGGTGGACGTAGTATACTTGGAAAGAGTGGTGGTGGTGGACATGGTATACTTGGACAGAGGGGTGACGGTGGACGTAGTATACTTGGACAGAGGGGTGGCGGTGGACGTGGTATACTTGGACAGAGGGGGGTGGCAGTGAACATGGTATATTTGGACAGAGAGGTGGCGGTGGACGTGGAATACTTGGACAGAGGGGTGGCGGTGAACGTGGTATACTTGGACAGAGGGGTGGCGGTGGACGAGATATACTTGGACAGAGGGGTGGCGGTGGACGTGGTATACGTGGACAGAGGGGTGGCGGTGGACGTGGTATACTTGAATTTTGCAAAAGCGTTGACACAGTTCCCCACACACGGCTAATGTGTGAGGTAAAGTCTACGGGCTTGGAAAAATCCATATGTAAATCGACAGAAAACTGGCTAAAAGATGGTATTCAGAGAATAGTGGTCAATGATTCATACTCTGAATGATCTGGGGTCATCAGTGGTGTACCCCAAGGTTCAGTGTTGGGACCCTTACTTTGTTAACCACATGCCGCCCAGCCACCGCATATAAACGGTGGCAGGGCGGCGCTCGTAGGCAAAAGCACGTTTTAAAACAGCTGCCTTCAAAACAGGTAGGGGGGCGCGCGCCGTGCCTGTCCCGCGGGTGTCAGCAGCGGGTCTCCGCCGCCGGGTCACGGCCGGTTTTTACCGGCCGTTTTCCCACGATGAGCGGTAATCACTGACACAGAGCAGGGCTGCATTGTTTACACACAGCCTGCTCTGTGACAGTTCGCCGACAAGCTACAGAGGGAGAGAAGAGTTTCTCTCCCTAGATTAGCTCCCCTTTCCCTCCCCCCCGTCCAGTACACACCCCCGCCCCCTAGTAAAAACACTCCCCTTACACAGCAAATTCTAAAAATGTTAACCCCTTCCTCCCCAGTGACATTAGTACAGTTTCAGTGGTTTTTTTTTCATTGATCACTGTATTGGTGTCACAGGGGATGTCAGTGACCCCAAGTCAGTTCGCCCCCCAGTGTCAAAATGTCCGCCGCAGTCCCGCCATAAGTCACTGGTCGCCGCCATATGTTGCTGATTGCCGCTATATGTCGCTGATCGGCGCCATTATTAGTATAAATAAAAATTAAAAATCCCAGTATCTTTCCCGCCATTTGTAAACCCTATAACTTTCACGTAAACCAATTAATTTACATGTATTGGGTTTTTTTTTTAGCAAAGACATGTCGCAGAATGCATTTTGGCAGAAATTTATGACTAAATTAGATTTTTGCATTTTTTTTTTACTGGACATGTTTTATAGCAAAAAGTCCAAAATATTGTTTTTTTTTTTCCTCAAAATTGTCAGCCTTTTTTTTTATAGCGCAAAAAAAAAAAAAAACCGCACAGGCGATCAAATACCACCAAAAGAAAGCTCAATTTGTAGGGAAAAAAAGGATGTAAATTTCATTTATGTACCATATTGCATGACCGCGCAATTGTCCGTTAAACTAGCCCAGAGCTGTATAGCAGAAAAATGGCGTAAATTGCAGTATTTATACCATAGATTGTAGACGCTATAACTTCCACACAAAGCAATCAATATACACTTATTGGGATTTTTTTTACCAAAAACATGTAGCAGAATACATTTTGACCAAAAGTTATAACCAACTTTGAGTTTACTATATATTTTTTATAGCAGAAATAAAAAATATTATTTTTCTTCAAAATTTTTGGCCTTTTTTTGTTTATAGCGTGAAAAATAAAAACGCACAGGTGATCAAATTACACCGAAAGAAAGCTCTATTTGTGTGAAAAAAAGGACGTAAATTTCGTTTGGGTGCAGCATTGCATGACCGCACAATTATCAGTTGAATTAGTGCAGCGCCAAGTAGCAAAAAGAGGCCTGGTCATTAAGGGGGGTAAATCCTCAGGAGCTCAAGTGGTTAATATATTTATAAATTATATAGGGTCTGAGATTATAAATCCCATTTCAGTCTTTGCAGATGACACCAGGGGCGGACTGACAACTCATGGGGCCCCCGGGCAATAGGGAATCATGGGGCCCCTGTGTCCTTGCCCAAACTCAAAAAAGCCTATGAAAAAGGTACCAGGGGCATCTCATGGGGCCCCCTACTGACCCCGAGCCCTCGGGCAGTGCTCGAGTTTCCAAATGGTCAGTCTGCCCCTGGATGACACCAAGCTGTGCAGTGGAATAACGTCCTTACAGGATATCTCCAACTTACAAGCCGACCTCAATGCACTGATTAATTGGGCAACAATGTGGCAAATGAGATTTAATGTTGATAAATGTAAGGTTATGCACTTGGGGGCTAAGAATGGAAGTAAGGGGGAACCTGTGTTAAGCCCCCCCCCCCCCGCACTCATGGGATTATGACAGCTGAGGTAGGGGCAGTTTCAAGGCCCCCTCCCCTTTCTTTCTCCTCAGGCACCCAGGAGGTCAAAGGTCAGGTCACACCTGGTCCAGCTGTGGGAAATTTGCCAGCAATATTCCCTGTCAGGTGGCACAGGTGTGATCTGCCCAGAGACAAGAGAGGTCAGCTGACCCTGGGGAACATTCTGGAAGGTCACATGACCTATAACCTAGGGTCAGCTGACCTTTTAAAACCTTCTAGAAGGGGCTTAAGCCCCTATAAAAAAGGGCTCCATGAGGGGCTCTGAGCCAGTTCTTAGACCCCAGTCTGACAGCTACCATCCCCCCCACTCTCTTGACGCGGCCAGATTATTATGTGGTTTGGTTACCTTTCTACAAAGGTGGACAGTTGATTTAAATGTCTTTGGATATATTTTCAACCCGAGTTGGAGTAGCCGGGTTGTTCTCATTGGTTGATGTTATTGAAAGTAAGTTAAATGGTTATTGATAACGGATGTAAGTTGTTTACATATTTTATACCCGTGATAAAGAGGCTGCGGCCAATTTACCTCCAGTGCTGCTTTGTGTCTAGTGTTTTTGAGTAAATTCATTTCTGAACATGCTGGCTATAATCCCATCTGCATGCATCATACATACTAGGGGGGTACAACTGGGGGAATCAATGGTGGAGAAGGATCTGGGGGTTCTGGTAGATCACAAGCTTAATAATGGCATGCAATGCCAAGCTGCGGTTTTCTAAAGCGAGCAAAATCCTCTCTTGTATTAAAAGAGGTATAGACTCCAGAGAGAGAGATATCATTTCCCCCGGTACAAATCATTAGTAAGACCTCATCTGGAATATGCAGTTCCGTTTTGGGTACCAATTCACAAAAAGAACATTGGGGAACTGGAGAAAGTACAGAGAAGGGCAACCAAACTGATAAGAGGCATGGAGGAGCTCAGCTATGAGGAAAGATTAGAGGAACTGAATTTATTCTCTCTTGAGAAGAGGAGATTAAGGGGGGATATGATCAACCATGTATAAATACATCAGTGGTTCATAAAGTGAACTGGGTGTATAGTTTTTCACCCTGAGGTCATCACAGAGGACAAGGGGGCACTCTTTATGTCTGGAGGAAAAGAAATGTAATCTCCAAACACGGAAAGGTTTCTTCACAGTGAGAGCTGTGAAAACGTGGAATAGACTCCCTCAAGAGTTGGTTCTGGTCAGCTCAGTGGATTGCTTTAAAAAGGCCTGGATTCTTTCTTAGATACACAGAATATAACTGGATACTAACATTTATAGATAAAGTTGATCCAGGGAATATCCGATTGCCTCTCGGGGGATCAGGAAGGATTTTTTCCCCTGCAGGAGCAAATTGGATCATGCTTTGCTGTTTTTTTTTTTGCCTTCCTCCGGATCAACTGTGGGTGTAGGATTATAACTATTTTTTTTTTTTTTTTTTTTTAATGGTTGAACTGGATGGACTTTTGTTTTTTTTCAGCCAGACTAACTATGTAACTATAGACCTGGGTGGAACATACAAACTCCACACTGTCCATGCCTTTGTTGGGAATTGAGCATAGGACTACAGTGGTACAAGTTGTGTAAATCACCTAGACCAGGGGTCTCTAAACTTTCTAAACAAAGGACCAGTCTACTGTCCTTCAAATTTAAGGGGCTAGATTGTGGTCAGTGGTCAGTGGTCAGTGGGAGTAGAAAACGTGATACAAAATAAACCCGCACCTAAACCTAATAAATAAATTATTAAGTGCTGCTGCTCATAGATGAAATAAACATCAATTAGAAATATAACTAAACCACAGCGCAAAAAATAATAAAATAATACATAATACATTTCATCAGTGGAATAATTATATGTGAATATATAAAAAAAATTATAAATAAAAGTCCAATGTCCCAAATCAATAGTGAAAAAATGTGCTCCAATCAAAAAAACTGTGTTGAGAAAAACTCCAACGTGCCACACCATCCGTGACTTCCAATATAGCCCACACTCATCAAATGGAATGGACTCTTAGCTGATAGGGCTTAAGAGTCAAACAAGCTTAATTTGGGATATATCCTCCAAAAGTGAATCCCACTCGGGAAATTCTTGCTTGACAACCTCCAAACGATCAATCACAGGTAGATGAAAATGCACAGAGATAACAGAAACACTAACAGTGTAATACTGCCTAAACTCTTTAAATGGTTAAAACTGATGCACATAATGCACTCACATTTTGCAAATAGGTAACAAGCCTCATGAATGTAAACTTTCCCCCTGAAGCAGGTATCGGATCACATCAGTCATGGTTCAACTGAAAGTGAACTGGCAGCAGTGTATGGGGATGTGTTCTCCTCTCACTCACCGGACATGACGTCACAAAGCCTCCATTGGAACCAGAAATTGAGTCAACGCGTTTCGCCCCTCCAACATCCTGGAGGAGGAGTGAAATGCGTTGACGCAATTTCCATTACCTATTTGCAAAATGTGAGTGCATTATGTGCATCAGTTTTAACCAATTAAAGAGTTTATGCAGTATTAAACTTAGTGTTTCTGTTATCTCTTTGCATTTTCATCTAACTGCAGGAGATCGTTTGGAGGTTGTCAAGCATTTCCTGAATGGGAGTAGAAAACAGCCTGGCATAAGTGGTAGCAAGCAATGCTCCATTATTGGTGTCAGTGAGAGGAATAGTGCTCCATCGTCGGTGTCAGTGGGAGGATTAGTGCCCTGTCATACGTAGGAATTGTGTCTCATTGTTAGTGTCAGTGGGAGTAATTGTGCCTCATCATTGGTGTCAGTGGAAGAAGTTGTGTCCCATCATTGCTGTCATTGTGAGGAATTGTGTGGCTTCATTGGTTTCATTGGAAGGAATTGTGTCTCATTGTTGGTGTTAGTGGGAAGAGCTGTGTCCCATCATTGGTGTCATTGGGAGGAATTGTGTGACATCTTTGGT